TCTGAGACCCCTCTGAAATTTCATTTTGAGATTTTCAGGAGGTCTGAGCTGTCAGTCCAGGGGTCTGAGGCCCCCTGTATTTCACACACAGTTCTTAGACACAGAGTCCTTAAGTAACTTAAATTTATAGACAATATCTGTCTATAATTTATAACTCAGATACAATGGGAAGCAACAGTGGCAAGTAGTTTAGAACTGTAGTGTCACAACTGTGTAAAAATCTGTTCCTGAATAAGTAGAAATGAGAAAGTCTGATGATCTACAGAACTGCAGTGCAGATGACAATATGTCATCAACCCGCTGATGCCAGGTGACATTTTGATGAGACACTGTTCAGAGGATTGGCTGTTTTATAACCTTTCAAATCCCTATGTCCCATCAGAGAGTGTTCAAATGCTCTGGAGGCCATGTCCCAAGGCGCAACTTGTGCTGTGAAAGTTGTGGCCAACATTGTTGTCAACATCATTTCCATCCTGTCACTGGTGGCTTTTCTCGACACTGTACTCTCCTGGCTGGGTGCAATGTTTGGCTGTCCACAACTCAGCTTCACGGTAGAGGCCCTGACCATAAACATAAACACAACTATCCAACATATACTAACAGTATATATATGTTCATACATTAACTCACATGTGTACTCACTCTTTTTATTTCTTTCTGTTTTTCTTGTAGCTCATCTGCTCCTATGTCTTCATGCCTCTGTCCTTCATGATGGGGGTTTCCTGGGAGGACAGTTTCATTGTTGCTGAGCTGATCGGCATAAAGGCATTCCTCAATGAGTTCATGGCCTATCAGAAGTTGTCAAAATTAATCAAGAGACGGAAGGCAGGAGGTCCTGAATATGTGAACGATGTAAAGCAGTATATTTCTGTAAGTCACAGTATTTTATTCTTACTATAGCTTTTTTATTGTTTTTGTATTTTGTTACTTTTTTATTTGTAAAACTTTACTTTCTGTCTGTTCATTTCTGCAATTACTTGGATGAATATTGTATATTTGACATCATGTAATAGACAATGCTCAGAAAATCTAATGGCATTCAAAGTACTTGGACACAGACTTTTGAGCAAAAAGGCTACCATAGTATTAAGTGGTAACTTGTAGTGGCTAAAGTGACAAAAGCCAATTTAATTATCTATAGCATGTTGGCTTGTAGACAATTTCATTTATGCTTCAGTGGCAGATATACACAAACAGTGCTTAATTTAAAGATATAGGTGTGGCCAGAGAGTTTGAGAGCCTATCACACTCAGCCAGTTTGATGTTTGGTTGTTTTATTTCCAGTTCCAGTCAGTCATACGCAATCCCTTTTTTTTATAATTTAGATTTTCTTGAGCAACTAACTGCTAAAACAAGAGGAAGATTATGGTGATTATGATTATGTTTTTGGTTGCGTT